GGTTGAACCCCCCCCCCCCTCTTGTGCGTTCAAAAACAGTCGGTCAGAGATCTGGATTTACTATGGCCAGCCATGAACGCTACAGTGAAGTAAAGCCGGTTATCAAATGAGTGTCAAATCGTTCGTATTTCATTCATTCGATAGTACAAATAACGTTTGCAGAATGATTTGAACTCTCATACACCCGTTAATGGATTATCCATAATTTCTCTACACACGCATACAAACGAAGACATTATTTAGGTCGTTTCTTTTTCTATTTCCATGAATTATGTGATTTTGTGACCGACAAAAGAGTGCCGTATTTGATTAGTAAATGAAGCATCGAAAACGAGCTTGTTTGCCAAATTTATTTCTTGATGCAGTTTATGGGTATTTTCCAGTACTTACGGATTACCTTTTTCTACCCTGACCTCGTAATTACCTACCGGATACCGGATGGTCACGGGTGCGAGCGAATCTTCACCTACGCCACGGAAAGTGTCAGTCGGGGAGTAAAACCGACAGTATTCACAGGCCCGCCTACTCTTATTGACCAATCATTTTTCACTCTCCTTGAAGAAAAGGCGTTAGAGCATGCACTGTGGACATATGTTCTCTCAAACGCAACTGAGACCGTGCGAGTGTAGTGTTGCTCTAAAAATGTTGCAAAATAATTAAATTCGCTAAATATATGTCCATTGGCCTTGCAAACGGTATCCCCTAGAAAATTTACGGATCACGATAAATAAAATCAAATATATGATATCAAAGAGGAGATTCGTAGTGTATGGAGCAAATGAAACGTGAACTGAAAAGCTAGGAAGCACTCTCGAGTAGAAAATAGCCACGTTGTGAGTTTCCAAAAGAGTCATAACCCTGAGAGGCTAGTGCTGAGATCAGCGAGGCGCGATGCCTACAACAAGCTCGCAAAGATGGGTTGTGCTATATCCTGTAAGTGGAAAATAAAAAAGGTCTGATCGGCTGCCGGGTAATCGCATTGGTAGCACGATTGAATTTTGCCCTTGAGGTCCCGGGTTCGCGCCCCCTCCCGGTTGGGTTGATGGATTCACGCACTGCTCGTGAGACCCAACCAGGTCGGAACAGCTGGTACAATGAGTGCTTCCTAGCTTTCCAGCTTACGCTTCATCTGCTCTTCTATACACGACAAATTCCCTCTTTGAAACTGAACCAAATCGTCCAGTACTCTCATGTAAATATTTGATAGTCCCTAGGCAATTCGGTTTGAATTTAGTCGCTTTCTAGAAGAAATATTGCTATTTATCAGTTTTTTGTGAAAACTCCTTCTTAAATGTATCTTTCAATGTTAAAATATTGTCTGAAGATTAAACCAGGTGATAAAATTCGAGACAGTCACGGCCTTAATAGAGTTTTATGCATCACGTTATTCAGGTCGAACCGGCCTACCCACAGCTTCATATCTACACAGTCGCCTTATCATTTTTTCGGTCTATCAATTTCTCTTTTTGCCACTCGTATTTCGAGACATGCATGATCTTACAGCCCAGCCCAGACCAACGAAAGTTATTCAGTGTGTAGGCGCCTTTATGCGCGTGTCTGTGTGTGCTAGGCGCAACACTCGATTGCAAAGAGGCTGTTGCGAATCCAGTCCCCGGTCGTTAGGGAATCAATATGTCATTCTGTAACGATCACTCTTGTCTGGTCTTGATTAACTTAGTCGACTGTCTTCACTCATTGAATGAAATATTGCTTTACATGTTCGGTGTATCAGCTCACACCGTTTTTCATGCAAATGCGATTGACGTTTCACGTTCCACCAATTGTTGGCCGTTCAGTTTTCCTTGAGTATGTATGTGCCCACTGTGGACATTTGGCAATTAGTGCCATAATATCCTGCTTCCCGTTTTCATCTGTCTTCGGAGACCGATGAAGATAAAAAGCTGAGTCAACTGAAAGCCGATTGTTGGGTGTTCGTTGTGGTGAAGGCTTATTAAAGTAGGGAGACGAAAATCATTTCAGGCCTCGGTTTGATTGGTATTTAATCGTGATGGCAAGTGTCTGCTGCGAATGCGAATCTCTCGCATCCTTGGAAGCAGATTTGAAAGTTTAAATGTCCTCTTCCCTCGAGTCCACCACCACGGATCTCGGGCGATTATGCGTGTTAAGGAAGGCACTCGAGGAACTGGTGTCCACAGCGCGTTCAGCTGTAAAGGTCATGTTGGTCCAACCTCAACCACATCGGACGCCACATCTGAATGCAGCACCACTGATCCCGTTGTCACAGTTGATTGGTTTTCATTACTATGCGCGATTAATTGCATGTTGGTCATACAGAGAATTAAATCCCCTTGTTTCATGAACCCAGTGCTGGAATGTGGAAAAGATTGACTGATTTCTGAACAAACCTCACACGAATGGCCCTGAGCTAGGTAACGGAGGATTTGCCTACTATCAGGGTTCGGGTAACCAACCTTTTAGCTCACTGTACGTCAATCATAGTGACTTAAACCATGCATCCGGTTCACTTCCAAGAAGCAGACTAGCTGCATAAAGACGAGAAAGTGAGTTAAGCGTTTGATCAACACATCTTACCGAATGGTGTGAGTGAATTGGCGCTGAGATCGCAAGTCTTCCTTTATCCGGTACGCTCAATGGCTACCCTGTGTGATCCACACAAAAACAACGATGAAAATACTTCCAGTCGTTGTCAAACGAAAATAGGCGTGGCTCTTAAGTGTTTACTGATTTACTGTTTAAGCATAATGTTTTGCCTTATTTGTGAAGCGATATGCCAGGATGCAGTCATTTTTCAACAAGGGCTCTGCAGGTTACGTAAAAACGGTTTGAAAGAGCAAGCGGGATAAATGATGTTTGGTTGTCATTTATATAACTTGTGTAAGCGTATATGCTTACATTTCAGTTCGTCACGCAGAATAAAATGATAATAATAAAAAAAACGAAAGGTAAAGAATGTCGGTGTTATTTGTTTCATGTACAAAACGTTTGACGTAGTTCATTTCAGACCTGTTCCTTATAATAAGTAGTCGGGCCAAGCAGAGTACAGGGGAATTTTTATAAATGGTAATGCGAGAGGATAGATGTCGTAATGAGGAGCGTATGGACGGATGGGAACGACAAGACGATAGCTCAGGGTGTAGTGGACGAAGAGGGTCATCTAGAATCTTATTGGCAAATTTAATACAAAAGTTGATGTGACCATCAATGAGTTCCGTGATTAGTGAATCGATTGGGATTAGCGATGCGTGACTGATGATCACCAAACCAAGGCGCATCGTTCTGAGGTCGTGTTTTAAAAGACCGGAAAACACTACAGAGGAACAATAGAGTAGAATGGGTAAAACGCATTGATGAAGAAAGGATGACAGGACTGATTGTGGGGTTCGGAATTGCCTGAGTTTACGTAACTGAAAAGACAGGCGTCTCAGTTTTCCCATACCGTTGTAAATATCTGTAGACCAATGAAGATTGTTGTCGATGGTGACACCAAGGTACTGGACTGAGGTCATTCTGGATACAGATTTACGGTTGCAGGTAGCAGAGTCCGTTGGAAATGAGGAGCGGGAAGGACTAAAAATACATTCTACGCACTTGGATATGTAAAGACAGACCAAATTGGTCAGAAAACTGATGGATTTGGGATAGGTTTTCGGTAAAAGAATGAAATTCCGAAGGAGATGAAACTTTCGGACACAAAACAACGTCAACAGCATACTTTTGGATGTGCGCAGGTGGTGGGACCGAAAGATCATTAATAAAGGCAGAAAAAAGATATGGAGATAGAACAGAACCTTGAAGAACACCGGAACTATTAACAAGAGGTTTT